CAAGTCCCACAAGCCCTGGTTCCCGGCTCTGGCACCGTGAACAAATGATCTGACTTACTTGAGCATTAGTCTCCTCACCTGTAGAACGTACACAACACTGGCTATCCCCTACGGTAATTAGAAGGTAAAAATGGACACATATTTAACACAATTTCTGGTACAAAGTAAATGTTCCATAACCAGAGGTTATCATTATTAGTCCACAGTAATAAATACAGGTTCACAAGTCACTTATGCAAAACTCTGGCCTCCAGGTGTGCTCTGGAATAGAAAATCTTTCAGGTTTACAAGGGGAGAGTAGTACACACAGCTACACATGCAGGACAGGAAATACATACAGAACACGTATACGATGGGGAAAAGATATATAGCCACTAAACAGCATCTGGGGCAGCAACGCACAATCAAACATGAATAGTTCTGCTGTGCAACACGCCCTGAGCAGGTGAATAAGCACTGCAAGTAGTTTCACGTCAGCTGACTTTAGGTCAAACAACAAATGAAAAACACTAGGTTGGGGGCTTCAGGGATTGTGGAATGTGGAGAAAGGACCGCGGGACTGTGCTCACGAAAAGCACATGGTCCCCACTGCCCACCAAATGTGCAGGAGCCACAAATGTAAGGGTGTGTGGAGCTGCACGGCCCTGCCCTGCCTCAAGCTCCCTCAGTTCCCTCCAGCGGCCCTGCGCCTGGACAGCCTCTCCAGGTCAGGTCACTCTTCCCTTTCACCCCTTCTCACCTACAGAGGAGAGAAGGGGAAGGAAAACACAGCAGTGGCTGGAGGGTCAGGCAAAAATCCACTCCACCATCTCCCTCGTTCTTCAAGTTTTACAAGAAAGGAAGAGACGAGGTCAAGGAGGGCAGCCATATTCAACACCTGGGGATTTATTTATAATGTCTGAGTGATCTGGAAAAGAAGAGTCTCCCCTGTCCTTCTGCATCTCCCACAGGCACTGCGACACCAGAGAACACTTACTAAATGCTTCCAGGTGGAGCAGCATCCCACAAGGTAGCCCTCTGGAGGTTTGGACATAGGAGGGCCTTATTCCAATCAGCCATTCCTCAATCCCCGGGATGACTTTAATCACCAAAGAAAGTCCAAAGCCAACTGACAAAAACTGGTCAGTGGTTGATAGGCTAACAGAATGCAAACTGATCATAATAGGAGTCTGAGCGAGAGAAGGCTAAAAAGGGCAAGTTTTCTCAAAATTCAGAGAAGGTGCTGCAAAAACAAACCTGTAAGAATGCTCCCGTATTCGAAAACTCATGCAAATCACAGACCTTTCTCTTCTCTCGGATGAATCATGAATGGATCCCCCCTCCCCCACATAAAGAAAAAGGATGTACACATAGTAAGGGCTTGATGTTTTAGTTTGGGGGCTGGCAACCTGCAGGCCATAGGCCAAACTGGCCCTCCCTCAGTTTCTGTAAATCAAGTTTTATCGGAACACGGCCACCCCACTCATTTGCATGTTGCCTGTGGCTGCTTTCACACTGTATTGACCCAAACTAGTTACATATTTGTGAGAAGACCATTTGGCCCACAGAGCCTTAAATATTTACTACATGGCCTTTAGGGAAATTTGCTGCCTGTGTTCTTATGAGAGGGGGGCAGAGGTTGGAAATCAGGAAGACATACACTGAAGCCCCAGTTCCATAATCGCTGGTGGAAACTACCTCAATATTCTGGGAGTGACCTCAGTTACCTCGTGTATAACATCAGAGTACTGCCATCTACCTTGCAGGGGTGCTGCGAAGAATCAATAAGACAGGTAACATCCCAAACATATAGTAACTGAGCAATAAATAGCACCTATTAAACTGCAATTAATGCCAAATACAAATTTGCTCACCACTTTAAGAACTAATCAAATGTAAAATGATTCAAGCACCAGCCAACTATTTTTTTTAAATAAGACACTATGCTGACATTCATCTACATCCTGTTAAGGAATAATAATAATACCTGGGGCACTTGGGTGGCTCAGTCAGTTGGCCATCTGACTTCAGCTCAGGTCATGATCTCACGTTTTGTGGGTTCAAGCCCCGTGCCCGGCTCTGGGCTGACAGCTTGGAGCCTGGAGCCTGCTTCGGATTCTGTGTCTTCCTCTCTCTCTCTGCCCCTCCCCCACTCACACTCCATTTCTCTCAAGAAAAACCATTTAAAAAAAATTTTAAGTACTAACAATACCCATGTATTATGGTTGTGAAAGGATAAATTTGTTTCCCTTTTCTCCTTCTGTCAATTTAGTTATTAAAAAAAAATTTCAAGAAGCCAACCAGCAGGATTTTAACATAAAGTGAATCCTTTCAATCCATAATATATAAAACGTGTCAAATAAAACCAAAAATGCATGTCAGGCTCCAAGAAATCCTGATCTATAAATTTAAGGTGGGGAGAGGGGCCTAAAAGGTAAGTTTCCTGACTTAGGTAAAGCTACCAGGAGAACGTGCGGAACAGTCTAAGCTGCTAAGTTCACGCATGGATCCAGTACTCCCTGAGCACCTGCTGTGTCCCAGGCTCTGGGTGCCAAGTGTGCAAGAGCAGTGTCACAACACTCAGTTTATAAAGAATGGGGGTGCTAAGCACTATATAACATTAGAACCACAGGACGTGGCCCAGACCACAAAGCTATCGGTATGAAGTCATACGTGATATTAGAGTTTGGGGCCCCCAAAGGATTATCTAGTCAAACGCCTGAACGGCACAGGCAGGTAAAGCGATTTGTCCATGATTACATGCAAATCAGTAGCAAGCCTCGTCTTCCTGACTTCTCCTTCCCACCAAGCTGTCTTCCTTAAAAATTACCCTTGGCGAAGGATCAAGTCTTTATCTTTCACACTTTGTGGTCCTAAAGATGCTATTCTGAAAAAACTACCCAATCTTCAAACACCATGGGTTCCTCTCGGCAGTATTACCAGTTCTTGTGGCTTCCCGCCCGGTTCTGTGGGTCTCTATTACTGCTCCCATTATACTGTACCCTAAAACCCTTTGCTTGCTGATCAGTGACCCGCTCCCCCCAGGCTATGAGCTCCTTAAAGGCAGGATCCAGTCTTGACACCTACTGCTAATGTGGGAGTGCTTGTTACGGGACAGGAGCGCGGCAATTTTATACACTCTCATTTGGTGCTTATAATAACTCAGCTATCCCAACACCGTGGATGAGGGAACTGAAGCCCAGAGAGGTGAAGAGAGCTCACACAGTATAGCAGACTCTATGGGCTACTTATTTAATACCTGTGTTACCTCAGTCCCATCCCTAACTTCCTCATGTACATTAACAGAAGTCTCACACTGCCCAGAAGTCTGCTATTACACCGTCAGTCCAGTATGGTTGGAGATCTCTTTGTTTCACTATCTGCCTTTACAAAATTGGACACTCAGGGAGTGCTTGTTCACCATGGACCCAGTACTTGTCAAGCAAGAATCTGACAGTGCTCAGATATCCCCCGTACTTGACATGGCCACATGCTTCGCTCCAAGGAGGCTGCACTCTGAATGAAGATCAGGGGGTCAAGCAGGATGGGAGAAAGCCACCATGGACACCCATCCACTTTCCAGTGGTGCTGGGGTAGGCAGGTAAAGCTGTTCTGCCCCATCTGATGTACAAGAATCTTCTGGGGAGCTTCTGAGAAAGACACAAGCACTCTCCTTCCCTGGATGCTGCCTGAGCTACTGCAGGCTCTTAAATGCTTAAAGAAAATTACTCGATCTCCTTAGAGTGGCTTTAAGCCAATGAGTCAGTCTTCAGTTACTCTCACCCAAAAGCATCATAATGTGCACACAAAGCAATGGAACTGTGATCCAAACATGACAAGGTGACTCTAGACTAGACCCTCTATACCTCTCCTGTCCATAACCCTCCCACCGTCCAGCATCAAGGGTGAGCACATAAGAAGCACTTGTAACCTTCAGCTAAACGAATAAAGAGATGAATGAAACAGAAGTTAAGCTCACCTGTCAGGGACAGGATAAGTTTTATATGCAGTTGCAAGTAAAATATTAGGGTCCTAGGTCCCTTAATGAGTATAAAGCCTACTGATCCTTAGAGAAGACCAAGGTTTAATGCACCTGGAAAACAAGAGTCTGTGCTGATCAAACAAATCCTGTAAACACCAGTCTCCAGGTCCAAACCAATCTCAGAAGACTGGGTCAATGAAAAAAGCACAAGAGATTCTGTTTCTTAAGAGCTCCTTTAGCAATGTTTATGGCACTTACTAGGCATCATGCCAACGGCCCACTCTTCCATCCCAATCTTGACCCAAAGGGTCAAACTAAAAGAGAGAGGAAGGGGGAGGGGACAGTAGGGAGAATAACATCTCTTCAGTGCTTTAAATCCAGTCTTTATGCACGCTCAGTCCTCAAATGGGTAAAACAGTCAACCTTCACAACTCATTTGGGTCTTCAGACCCCTGCCGCCACCCACCACCCACCCACCAAAGGCACACGCCCACCTTGATTTTAGAAGCTGAAGGATCTCCTCCAGGCCATTACATACAGGTCACAGAAGAGTCCTTGGCAACCCATACCATTTCTGGCCAGGAACCTAGGCCAACTTCCAAACAGTGACCTGAAGGTAAAATGCACCACATACCATTGCCAATTCTATCCCCCACGGAAAACCAGTGAACACATTTGCTACTCATGAAGGGCCACTCGCCAGCATCTCATGACCCATTCACTGCAAGAAACGACATTCACTTTAACTTCAAAGCTGCAAATGCTTGTAAACTTTCCAACACAAGAGCCTCTCTCTGTGTGTTCATGTGGCCTTCTCTCAAACTGCTAAAGCATAAGGATTTTTCAGTCTCCAACAAGAATCAAAGTAAACTCTACTTGCTTCAGAATGAAATGTCCAAAAGCCACAACCAGAGCATCTTACTGGAGGCCAAGGAATCCTGCACATCACTCCCAGGGGAATTATTGTTCATAAGGACCAAGTCTGACCCACCAAGGCAGCCCGGCTGCCCACACGAGCACCTTCGGAAGTACAACTTACCTTGTAATTGCTAGAGTTCACCCAAGAGGTAGCAAGCCCATCCACAAGCTTATCTAACATGGTCTGGTCATGTTCAAGGTCAGCAGACTTCTGTTTGTCTGAGAAATAGTCTATAAGTTCTTGGCCAACCTGCAGTCGTTTCCCCACATCCTTCTGCAACACCTGTGCCAGGCAGGACTCCATGCGAGGCTCCATGGCGGAGTTCAAATCCAGATGCAGCAGAAGCTAGAGGGCAGTCCACTTAGCCTCCCAGTAAACGCACCCGGGAGGCTGCCTCTTTGTTCGCCAAAGGTTACTAAGCGCCTGTGTTTCAAAGATGCAATCCGGGGAATGGCAACAATGCACCATGTGTGTCTGACGAGCAGCTGGTGGGATATTAAAAGTCCAATTTAAATAACTAGTAGGAGATAAAGGAGTGAGTGGCAGAGTGAGGTTCTACGCTTGGGTCTGAAATTCTTCATAATTCAGCAGTCCATTCTGAAAAGCGAAAGAGAGTGACAGATCAGCACAGATAATGTAACATTCAAATGTTATGAAACATTAAACCAAAGACAAAGCAATTGCGCTGCAGAATCATTTATAATCACAAGTGGAGTGAGAAGCAGGAACGCTTGGCAACCATATCAGAATAACATAATTATTATTTTTATCAGGAAGAACATGGAAGCCCAAAGCAAAGAGCCAATGAGCTACACAGTTGGTAGCCTGACGTTTTTCTCCCAATTTTCCAGCTTGTAAATGCGCCAGTCGGGAAAGCAGCCTTCTGCTGCAGCAGACATATTTATCCGTGGCTTAAAGTTTGCTTCCCACCAAAAATTTAACACCGTTCAGCGTGGGAAGCACTATAGGTACTATAGCTTACTTACAGCCTTACTCTGCACTTTCTAAAAACCCCAGTGCTGGAAATGGGGTGGGCTCCACAGGAAGACCACTGACGAGAGTGGCTGGCCTGGTAACGGGGACCAAAGACAGCACCTCCATCAGACCTGGTGCTCAGCAGCATTGCAGCAGGCCGAGCAGTCGCCCTTGCCTCGTCCTCCTCCCTCCAACAAAGAAAGGGGAGTGACGGGGGCTGGAGGACGGGGAGGGGAGAAGAGGGAGCAGGCTCCCGGTTCTGATCACTTAGGAACGGTACCCTCAGCTGACGACAGCATGTTTGGACCTGGGTGTTTGTTATAAGATCAGGAGACCTCAAAACCATGTGTGGGGAAGGGCAGAGCACGTGCTACAAGAAAAGTGACATTAACACTGTTTTCCAAACTGAACAAGCAGAGCAGTTCATGGACAGCTGCTGCAGCAAGTAGACACGTGTATTCCTTACTGCAATCTGTGCTCTCAATTCCTTGCCTCCTAACCTAAGAAGCCCCACAGAAAAGCTATCTTCCAGACGCAGCACATCCCTGACACTGCAGGGAACAGAACTAACTGTTCCTCACACCTGCAGGAAGTCCCCACTCTCAGGGGTCTTAGCAGGCAAGTATGGGCTTATAAACCAAGTAAAATTAAAATTCCACACATGGTAGTTCTTCCAGTCAGAGCACAGCAATTCTTTCCCTAACATCACCTCATCCATCCCTCCCCTGGGTATAAAACCACACTGTGCTTTCCGAGTTCTAGAATCAGACACTTCTGACACAGGCAGCAATCATTTAAGTCGAGTCCGTCAATGAGGGAGTCCCTCCTTTAAAGCCCTGACACACAACTGATTACCCGTCTTCTACATGCGGGGGGCTGGAGGAAGGGATGGCCCTCGAGAAGACTGTCGCACGTGGCGGAGGAGACAGCTGCTTCCCATCCCATCCATACCGTGGAGCTGGTCCCTCGTTCATAAGGGTCTTCACATACATAAAAGCAGCTATTCCCCTTCATTCCAATGTTTAATCCAAACAAAATAACCGCAGTTCCTCAATCAGCTCCTATGTTGGGTTTTATAAAGAAGGCATCAGTGACACAGGAAAACTGGAGAAACTAACAGAACCTTTTCTTTCTCAGCCCAAATCAAGAAGCAAATCAAACAAGGCTTGGCATGTGGTGGATCAAAAATGGCCAGATTCTTTGCTTCTCCTCCCCATCAAGGGGGCGGGGGGGTGGGGGGTGCTAAGCCCTCTCCCACAGTGATTCTGGGGTTGGCCCTATGACTGGCTTGGGCCAGTGGGAAAGCAGCCACCACAAAAGGAAGTGGAGACGTGCCAGGCAAGCACTGCCGCCTGCACTGAGAATGCTGCCCAGGGCCGCCACGCTGGGAGGAAGATCCTGGAAGGCGAGGCCACGTGGAAGAGAACCGGTGCACTCTGGCCAACAGCCAGCACAGGTGCCAGACCTGGGAGTGAGTCCGTCTGAGAAAAGTAAAGGTAAGGCCATTTCTAAGGCCACAAGGCCACTTAGTGTCCTCTCCCCACCTTCAAACCTTTGTGATGAAAAGTGTGGCCTGGTTCTGTTCTCACTCAGGGAAAGGAGGTCAGACTTGGTGCTCAGCTCTGACGCACCAGGCACAACAGCTAAGTCTCCATTGCCGGGGCGGGGGATGACCCCGCTCCTTGCAGTCTGTCTGCTGTACTTTTTAAAATATGTATTATATAAAAAGCCCCCCTCCATAAGAATTGTATAGGATTTCTAAGAAATAAAAGTATATGCTTCTTGAAGGAAATTAAGCAAGAAACACTTAAGATAGTCAAAAGCAGGTCACCAACTCCTATGTACAAAACCCACAGAATGAAAGACACTGGAAGTCTCCAGGCGTTAAGCAGATTGGGTCTTCTCTACTCTTCTTCTCTTTAAAAAAAAAAAAAGTAACTGATGATACCCTCTCATATTTATTTTTACTAAACTGGATTTTTGGGGTACCCTGCCCCTACACTCTTGAGCATCTTCTCCATCTCTGGTTTCAGAAGCGTTCAGGGAATACCAATCACATAGTCCGAAATTCACAAGGTACAGAAGTATAAAATCTCCCCACACTCCTGCCCCCCAGCCACCCAGTTTCCCTGCCTAACAGAGAATAATATCACTTGTTTCCTGTGTATCTTTGCAGAGATATTTTTAGTGACGCAGGTAAATAAATATGTGCCTTTCTCCCTGTACCCCTCAGGAATTTTCTAAACCAACAAAAACACTAGCAAAACTTCATATAGCAACAGAACTATATAAAAACATTCTTTAAAAAAAAAACACGTTATGTTAAAATAACGATGCAGAAAGTAACAGTATAAACAAACAGGGGGAGGAGGTGGAGGTAAAGCATCCCTTCCTTCCACTGGCATCCAGTCCAGACGCTCTACCAGGGAAGAGCACAAGTTCACCCAGAACCTGCAGTCCCAGAGGTCACCTACAGCGAGACCAGAGAAAACCCAGGTCTGTTACGTGTAAGGCACGACTGGAAGGCACCGGGACATAGTAAGTACGACTCAGCCCTTGCCCAGCACGAGCTTGCGGACCAGCACAGCACAGCGTCTGTTCATAATCGGTCATCGGTTCTGAACTCATCATTTAAGAGGGGTGTCACCCAGATAGGCTACCTGACAGCAGTGCTAATGTTAGAGATTACTCAGAAGGCCGGAATGAGTACGTCACGGGGATGAAAGCGACAGCACAGGGAATACAATGGGCAACGCTGTGTGGAGACAAGATGGTAGTAGCTACACTTGCGATGAGCGCAAGCACAATGTACTTCTGCAGTCACTATGCTATTCACCTGAAATCAGTGTAGCACGGGATGTCTACTATACTTCAATTAAACATTTTTTAAAAAATTACTCAGGATGGGGCACCTGGGTGGCTTAGTCGGTTGAGCGTCCGACTTTCGCTTAGGTCATGATCTCGCGGTTCGTGGGTTCGAGCCCCGCGTCGGGCTCTGTGCTGACTGCCAGCTCAGAGCCTGGAGCCTGTTTCGGTCTGTGACTCCCTCTCTCTCTGACCCTCCCCTGCTCNCTGTTTCGGTCTGTGACTCCCTCTCTCTCTGACCCTCCCCTGCTCACGCTGTCTTTCTCTCTCCTAGAAATAAATAAAAAACATTAAAAAAAAAAAAAAAAAAAAAAATTACTCAGGATGTACCACGGAAGCCATGGAGCCCATAGATCTTATTGTATCAGTCCCTGGAAAAAGGGACACATTCCAGGTGTTTCTGAAAAAAACGTTCCAACTCCTCCTCACCATGCAAAGGGCTCTTCCGTTCCCCAACATCACACTTCTCTGCCCCCACTATGGTATAAACATCTCAATCTTTTCCTATCACATCATCTTAGTCTATACCTGTGGGGGAAAACAATAAGAGGTGAAGACAATGGCCCTATAGCCATTCTCCTTTACACTACCCACGGAAGTAGACATTAACAGAGCCGCGTTTACCAGAACAATAGCCCAACTCAGAGCCCAACTCTGCCACGGCCCAACAGGAAGAAGTTAAAAAACACTAGCTTCAACAAGAATGAAGAAACACACAATTAGACAGCCTGAGGTCATGAAAAGAGCAACAGTTAAGAACTGCAGCCTCTAGGCTTGACTCTGTCACTTCCTGAGTGACACTGGGAAGAACGTTGGCTCTTCATTCATTAAATAAAATTAAAAATGGAAAGGGTTTGCACAGGAAATTTTTTAAAATTGGCCCCTATGTCTATGCACTGCCTGGAAGGCTAAGTGGGTTAAACGTCTGGCTCTTGACTTTGCCTTAAGGGTTCAAGTGCCACATCAGGCTCATTGCTAGCAGTGCAGAGCCTGCTTGAGATTCTCTGTCTCTCTCTTTCTTTCTCTCCTTCTCTGCCTCTCCTCCACTTCTGTTCTCTCTCTCTCTCTCTAAATAAATAAATAACCTTAAAAAAATAACTTGTCTCTATCCCCTCAGTCATCATACCGCTCTATAGCAGTATACTCTGTACCCCACTACAGAAGTGTATTAGCGTATTCACAACGGAGGACTGGTGGGCAGGGATGCTGGAGAACCGAACCAGTGCAAAGCTCTGCTCCGTGGACTTCTCCGTGAGAGGCGTCACCAGCACGACCATTTTTACCCAGTGGCTCAAAACAAGGAAAAACTTCTCATGAGGCTGTAGGTTAGCTGGGCCCACCGAGAAGGCTCTTCTACTAACGTCACCGGGGAGCACCCAGGCCACTGTTACCACCTGCCAGCACCCCTTGGGCGCAAGTCCACAGGAGCACCACTCACATGACTGAGATAGTGCCGCTAGCTGCTGGCCGGGCCTCCCGCCACGTCCGACCTGTAACCATTCCGGAACAGAGCCTGCACCTCGCTGCAGAGTGGCTGGCGCACCCCGAGCAACAACAGGGAGCGCTGCCAGGCCTCTCAAGGCCTCAAATCCGGAACCCGTAAGTGGCTTCTGCTACATCCTACTGGTCAAAGCCAGTCACCGGGCCAGCCTAGATTAAGTGTGAGGAAATGCATTCTACAAGTCAACAGGAGGAGCTACAAAATATTCTGGCCATGTTCTCCAGTCTAACTAACCCGGATGTATTCAATGGATATT